TGGGTTCCTCAGTGGAAACCAGAGGTCAAATTGAGCTCTTAAATAATTTACCTTACATTATTTGGTGCGCTTGTTGATGCGCATTCCTATCTTCCTTGCCAGACGTAAGACAAATCTTGTTTCTCACAGCATTCAGACTCTTGAGCTTGTTTTTATCAACCAATCTAACTAATCGAACTAATTATCAACTATTCTTAGAACTATTAAAGTAACCAGTTTTTACGTCGGTGAAGATTTGTAATGTTTACAAGCAGCACAATCAGCTGTTGTCTCCCTGGCAACAGCTGGAGAGTGCTCAGACTGGAGGTCCTGCGTTCTGCTCTGAACTGCTGTGGTTAAGTCAACACCTCTCCTGTGTTGCTCTGTATCCCTCTCCTCTTCCCTTACCTTATCCTGTGTCTAGTTTACCAAGCTAAATACCGTGCTGCATGTTTGTTTTCTGGCATAAGTGTGTAGTAATGTGTATAGGTTACGCTAGTGTTTATATTGCTAAGTTACTCTAAGGGGTCTCAGTGGAACCACGTGTGCTCAAGTGGTACCATTAAGCTACCTAGAGTCCTTGCTAGTGTCCCTTGCCTAGTAGACTTTACCCTAGCTTGTCCTAATTGTAAAACCTTGTATCCTGTCTATGTGGACCAAGGCTTTTTTTATTTTATTTTATTTTATTTTATTTAATTTATATATATACAAGAAGGTACATTGGGTTTGTGAGAATACATTGGATAGTACAGTATTTACATTCTTGTAAAGCCACTAGTATGCGCAGCGTTTCGGGCAGGTCCTTAATCTAGCAGATAATTTTAAGTAGGTAATTTCTATCAGAATTGATAAATGATAAAGATACATTGCAAGAGAAAAATGAGATGAGAGAGCTTAGTAAGTATATTAAAGCACATTCTTATATTAAAGCTCTGATTGATTACATTGACAGCTTGATTAGTAATTTAAACAAGATTAATAATAGACACCATACAGCAGATTGACAGCACATATAAGACAGCAATGATCACAATGGTAAAGATGTTCAGATTGGGTACATAAAGATTGGGAGACTGGGTAGCAATAGATACAGATAAACAAGATTTATAAACACCATACAGCAGATTGGCAGCACATATAAGAAGACAGCAATGATCACAATGGTAAAGATGTTCAAATTGGGAACATAAAGGTTGGGAGATTGGGTAGCAATAGATACAGTGCAATTTTAAGGCAAAAAGTGAAAAACTATGAAGATGAAATTAGGTACTTTTTAGTATTGATTTTGAACATAAGATAGTGTGGTAAAGTAATTATTGTTACTGTTATTTAATGTATATGGGGGGGTTGTTAAGAGGGTTTAATAAATAAGTTAGTTTTTGAGGTGTATCCATTACTCCTGTTGTAGTGGCGTAGTTGATTGTATCCCAGACGTCAGATCTGTTCTAAAACCTTAAAGCATTAACAGGAACCTATGTTCCTTGGAGGCCGGGCCTAATGGTGTCACTACCCGGTGACTAATGGTGTCGCGCAGGACTCGTAATTCTGTGGCGCGGGTTCGATTCCCGCACGAGGCAGAAACACATGGGCAAAGTTTCTTTCACCCTGAATGCCCCTGTTACCTAGCAGTAAATAGGTACTCGGGAGTTAGTCAGCTGTCACGGGCTGCTTCCTGGGGGTGGAGGCCTGGTCGAGGACCGGGCCGCGGAGACACTAAAAAGCCCCGAAATCATCTCAAGATAACCCTGTTACATCTTGATTCTAACTGCTGACCCTTCTCCATAATACTCTAGACCCCCCATAACAGCTCGTAAATTCATAACAATGCCTCATTAGAGGGCACCAGGTTTTGGTTCGTGGTCCCTGGTTAACCTAAAAGAACTCCGCGACTGATAGCACTTAATAGTTTGGCACGGTATCAGCATTGTAGCTTTAGGGAGCCACCATGGCTCACACGGAACTTGGCCTCTCATTACATTCAACACTAGTTTTATACAATGATGGATGACTCAATACTTTAAATGCTTCTATGACATTAACCACCGTGCTGTGCCGAGTTTATTGTGAAATTCCCCCGGTACGCATGAAATAAAGTGTTCCCCAAAAATTCTTTTTTCTTCGTAAAATGATAAATTCCCTTCCCTGAACATGTCTATGTAAAAATAAATACCAAATTCCACTTACTTTGGCTGTGGGGACGCGGACAAGGTGAGCTGTGACATCATCGGGGCCTGGTCGCTCGTGCGTGAATGGCCCAGACACGGTCGCGCAGGCCATTCAAGCACCAAGTGTTCCCACAAATGTATTTTCAATTGTTTGTTTTATGTATTTCCAATGCAGTTTTATTTGTTTTTTTTATCGTATATGATGCATATTTGGGTCCTTTACAATATGTATACAGTAGAACGTTCATAATGTTCCATGGAACTGTGATACATGTGTCAGTAATGTGTCCACAATAAATGTTTATTGTTGTAATATTACCTGTTAAAAAATCACTAAAATTACAATATGTACAGTTTCGCACACTATTTACACAGTAACCAGACTATTACACACTCAGTACTTCGGAAGTGAGTAATAATCAACGAAGTAGCCCAGGGTACACAGCGCGACTTCGTTCTCAGTGCACCAGGTACAGATAAATTTTTGCTTCCTGTTTCTTCATTCTGTGTGCTTGCAAATAACGCACTCACGTACACCCTTGGCTTTAGTACTTGTAGGTTGTATGTAGCGAAGCTTGTAAAGCATAAGGTAGTATTGAAAAGATTATAGGAAAAGATCAATTTGTAAGGTAGTCTTGAAAAGATCGCTTTGTATGGTCCCACACAGGAAGAGATTCAGCTTACCTCAAGAGTGTCCGTCAGTCAGAAAGAGATTCAGCTAGCCTCAAAGAGTGTCTGTCAGTTAGGAAGAGATTCAGGCATTCTTGAAAATGTCTATGGAAAACACCATGGAAGCCGCTAACACTGTTCATCTATGCTACTTGTATCAGATGCATCATCATTGAACACAAAAACCGATTCATCAATGTATCATCTAAATAAATTGGAGATAGCATAGGATTGCAAGGGTGACGCTCAGAGCTACAACTGGATACGCTCACTGTATCGTACTCATAGGTGCTGTATCACTTGCATCCGACCTTTGTGTTAGGTCCTTATTGCGCCTAGCTTCACCAATATTACGTGACCCTTATGTTCTTCAAACAATAAGGTTTGAATTTCACTGATATAGCGTTATCTTTCAACACCGCATCGGACAGGTGTTCGGGAGCCAGAGGCGCGTGCGCCACCCATGGTTGCTCATTCGGTACTAACCTAGCCAGCAGCCCTAGGGCATTCTGGGAATTTTTTCCAAGATGGCTGCCTCTCACTGGAGGTCCTAAGAGTCCATTTCGTACACAACCAACCTCGTACACATTTAGAATTAATACCGAAAAATCAAAAAATGTTTTCTCGGTTGGCACAGTTTCCCATCGACCGAGAATACTCAGTTGACGCAGTTAAGTGGCTAAGCACATTAGCACACATGGTAAAAGGTAATCTACTGAAGCTGCTGGAGCAGAGGAATGTTTAAAGTAAATTTGCAGAAAAGTTGTGGGAAGAAAATTGATCTGAGCAAATTTGTAATGTTGATGAGACAAGTTTGTGCTGACGTATGTAACCCACAGACACCTTGGCTCACAGAGGTGAAGATGATCCTTCTGGTGATTATAAGCATAACATGATTTCTCTGTTGTGCTGTGCTAATGCAGCTGGCAATCACAAATGCTTGTGATTGGAATTAACAAAAACCTCAGGGCTCTAAAACTGACTAGGTGCCTCCCTGTGGTTTACAAGAGTTATTCAAATGCATGGATGTCTTGAGTAATATTTGCTAGAGTGGTTTAATAAGAACTTTGTACCTATGATGAAGGAGCATCTCAATGCACCATCAACAATAATCTTCAAGCTAAGAAGTGAATCAGAACTTCTAATACTGGCAAGTACAAACAAAATATTGTACTTTTTTTGCTCATAGATTTTAAGGATGATAAACCACTAATCCGGACACAAGTTATTCATTGAGTCTCGGTCCCTAATCATCTGGAAAGCATGAGGTCGTCTGTATCTAGTTGTATGACGGACTGACCATTTAGCATTAAAATGACAAAGAATTTTTTATATTAAAAAGGTCAAAGATCTCAAAGATCTGTAAGTACACTTTCAAATGATGCTGACTCAGTTGGCCTGGTAACCCACTACATGACCTCTAGAAGTTCAATTATACATAAAGAACAGAAATTAGTTGTTTCCTTAAAAAAAAGTAGGGCACCATATACCAAACACTAGGAGACCCAGTGAAGAATGTCTTGGGCAGAGCTCTAAAGTTCTCAGAGGGCACACTAAGCAGGCTAGTCCCATGCTACAATTGCTTATCCCATGCAAAGATTTTCTTCTCTAACCACCATCAACCCAGACAGCCAATCATCTAACTCAGGAATGCTTAAATATAATGCATTACCCCCTTCCCCTCCTGGTATGTGATGACAACATCAATGGGAACCTGAGAATTTTTGTTAGACCTTTCACCAGTGGCGAATTTAGCTACACCAGGTGCCTAAAAGCACCTGCCAACAAAGCCTTCAATATCACAGAATGTAAGCAGCTTTACATCCTCCTTCCCTTCCCCCACCACAACTAGCTAGCTACATTGAGCTGAGAAGAAAACCTTTCTGGAAGTTATTCATTAATTTAATGTTAAACTATTCAGAGTAATCCTATCCAAAAAAATTCAGAATTCTATATTTCCCAGTTTCAACAGGTAGACTCTGATGAGAATTTTACTTTTCTTAAACCACAGCTTTGACAATTTACTACATAATTAACAAAGTTCAATTCATAAAGCGTTTGACACTCATTAGTTTCAAAGCATCACACGACAGAGTACTGGGAAGATGGAACATCACAAGGTCTCATCTTGTGACTACACTTACATAATTACTCAAATCATTAAGAATAATTTTTAAGTACCATTACCTTCATAGAAGAACGAATTATGCCAACATTTGGGAAGAGATTCCTGCACTTTTGGACCCAGCTTTCCACCTCAGTATTGCAGAGTTCAGTCTCCTCAAGAGCAATTAAGGCTTCTTGTGCAGTGGTGACAGATGTCACATGCTTCAACATACTCTGCTGCTGCTTCTCCTGTTCCTCACCGTTTTTCTTCAAAGTCTGCACACTACTCAATTCTTTCTGCAATAGCTCTGCAGAGTCATTAAGTACGGTGAGAAGTTGATAATGGTCACTCTGCCATTCCAAGAGCTGGGCCTCGTACACGCCCAACTGGTGAACCATATCCTGGTTAAGAGCACTGAGGTTACTCAAGCTGTTCTGTTGTTCCTGAATCAGTGACTGTAGCTTCTTGCCAATGCCTCCGAGACAGCCTTGATCAGGTTGTGCTGATGTTGGCATTGTAATCTTTATATTCTCAAATGATCCTATAATTTCCTCCATACCATAATTTATTGGGAACTGTGTAGGGATTGTAGCCTTGTGCTTGGTACAGCAGATGGGGCAGGTAAGCTCACCAACATTGATCATGTTTGTTATGCAAGCCGAGCAGAATGGATGCCCACAGGGCAGACTACGTGGCCGTCGATGTTCCAGGTCATAGTGCTCGTGGCACACTTTACACTCAATGGGGTAGCTGGCAGCCTGCAAATAATATACAGTGTAAGCAGCCTTGACCTACTTTTCTCAGCAAGCAGTGTTTGAAGTTTTTATTTTTAATTAATCATGAATTACCCTTAAATCATTAAAAAGTTTCTTCCGGACCTAAAAATATAATGTCAAAATAGCTATTGCAGCATGCCTTGAGAGAAAAAACTAACAATATGACATACAAAGGTTCATGCATAATTTACATCAAGATATAATTCACTATATTATACATATTAATTTATCATCATGTATACATTGAGAAAATCAGTAGATGCCATGATGAAGATTTGAGCCTATGCCCTGGATACTCCCAGGCACACCCACACCACGACATGGTCAAAAGTACTGTAACCTGGGATTCAACTACAATAGATTACAAGCTACAGTGGATGGGGGGCATTATGTGAAACCCTGATTAGGCTTCATTGGAAACTTCAGGAATCCTAGTGGATTCAGTGGAATCTCAGATTGCAATGCTTTTGGCCACGTCATGATGTAGTGGTCTAGAGCGTTTCCTAGGCGTACTCAGCACATAGGTTCGAATCCTCCACATGGTTCCTACTGATTTTCTCATTGATACATCAATGTGATTTCTCTGTGTAATACTGTATAAGCTCGCTTATCCAAATTATAAGGAAAGGACCCCTCCCCCACACCCACTGCCAGATAAGCCCAACATAAGGATAAGCAGCAGTTTACTGGGAAAGTCTAGAAGTGAACATATTCGCATTTTTTTGTACCACTACCAAATTAATTTGAATTTCCACACATACTATAATTAGTGTGTGGTTGACTGGGTGATTAGCTGGTTGGTTAGCTGGCTGGTAGGTGGGTGGGTGGACAGGTGGGCTGGATGAATAGATAAATAACTAACTGGCTTGCTGGTAGGCTGGCAGACAGGCAGACATGTAGGGGGCAGGCAGGCAGGCAGGTGGGAGTGAGCGGTGGGCTAGATGGGTGGCAGGTACATTTTGTACAGCACAGGCTGTACAAAATCTGTGCCATAGACTGCCAGACAAGGCAACACTAGACAGACACATAATCACATGTCTCCTTCCTGTTCAACCCTCCAGCCTCCCCATGCAAGCCCTTCCAAGCTCTTAAACATCATTTTATTTTCTTGTAAATATTTAAATGAATAAATATCCAACCAAATACTGTTCAAATATTATGTTGTTATTTAAAATTCGTAACTAGCCCTCCAAGGCAAAAAGTAAAAAACCAGCGTTGAATGTAATGAAACGCCATTTTCTGGGTGAGACCCGGAGGCTTCCCGGAGCTTACTAGGCTGATATGCTAATGTCAAACTTTGACATCAGTCATGTGTATGGAGTTCTGTGGGCCTACCAGGGACCACGAGCCAGAACCTGGCCCCCTCAGAGAGGCAAGGGGAGCAATGGCCTATAGAAACCCCCGTGTGGTTGTAAGGTATGGGATTGAAAGCCGTACCCTAGAGTATTGCTAACAACACCCGCTCTTACTTTTTTATAAATATTGGGAGTGCCGGTGTCTATATAGCATTAATAAACAGTTCTAACACCATGGGACAAGAAATATACCTTGGGGTACAATTTTACAAGAGTTTTTATTCTATGTCTGCCAGCTACTTGGTTAGGCACCCAGAAAGGTAAGCATCCCAAAACAAACCCCTATTCTGGTGAAATTATTGCTACCACAAGCCAAACAAGTGGATAGAACTCCCCTAAAAGAAACGAGCAAACAAGCATGACGTCACACGTTGCTGCGCCGCTGTCTGCGCAGCTCACCCCTTCCCAGGAGGGGGAGCCCTGGACCCCCCACGCTGGCTATCCACCCTTCAATTCTAAGGCTGTATGTCAAAACACGCGAAAAACAGCCAACCGGAGGGAGGGAGGGATGCCAGGGAACCTCTGGGTCTCACCCAGAAAATGGCGTTTCATTACATTCAACACTGGTTTTCTGGAGGAAGCCCCTTCAGCTCCCCAGAGCTAACTACCCACAGAGGAACAGACTTGTTGCTTGGCAAGGAAGTAAACGAGATGTATGTAAAATTTTGCGAAATATACGATGAAGGAACACAAATATTTATTCCAAAACAGATGCAGGACCCGAAAACAGGATTGGTTGAACAAAAATTGAGAAAGGGCCAGAGAGAAAAAGACAATAAATGGGTTCAATATAGGAAGAGACCTAACCAATAAACATACTAGCATTACAAACAAGCAAGAAACAATTACACAGCAATGAGAAGAGAGACTGAAAGGAACTTTGAGAAAGGTATGCTGACAAATGTAAAACAGATTCAGGCCTTTTCTATAAATTTATTAAAAGCAAGTTGCATGTAAAAGATAAAATCCAGAGAGTGAGAATGGGAAACAGGAGAATGGGAAACAGGAGAATGAAAAAGAAATGTGTGAAATGCTAAATGACCAGTTCCAAAATGTGTTTGAACAAAATGAGGATTTCAGAGAGCCGGACCAAATACCAATTCCAGAACATGCCATAGAATACATGGAGGTATCTCAAGGCGAAGTGGAAAAATGACTCATGGGGATAGGAAGAAATAAAGCAGTTGTACCTGATGGAGTTTCAACTTGGATGGTGAGAGAATGTGCAACTGAGCTGAACATTCCAATCCAATTAATATTCCAGACATTCTTGTGCATAGGAATCTTAGCAGATATATGGAAAAGGCAAACATAGTACCAATTTATAAAAATAGTAGTCGATAGGAACCGCTAAATTATAGACCCCATGTCATTGACCACTGCACTACGCATAGCGCCTTGAGGTACTGGATCGGGGAAGTGCAGAGCGCCTCAGGGCACTCATAGGCATAGAATAGCATTCAAAATTCCCACGGCTACACAGGGTTAACATCAGCTTCCTTAGTGCTCACGTATGATATTTTTTTTTTAAATATTAAAAAAAAAAATATTCGCCATTTTTTTTAACCCTTAACCCTTAAACTGCGCATTGCGTTTATATACGCCCTGAGTAACATGTCCCACGGTGCACATGGCATATATATACGCCATAGGGTGCCAGGCCCGATTCAAATGGCCCGCGGCTACACGGGGTTCACAGTAGCTTCCTCAGGGCTCTTGTAAACAGACGCCTTTTTTTTTTTAAATCGTGGGCAATATTCTCAGGTGTGAGAGGCACAGTACTGTTGGAGCAACCAAGGCTGGCGCACGCAGCATGAGCGAACAGCATTGCTGTTCAGCTTGTGACCACAGCATCGCCGAAAAATGTCAAAATATACAATTGTTATTATTTAGCGATGACAATATTACAGATGACCCATGACTGTGATATAAATAACCAGGATTGTGATAATAGCAGGATTGTTGTAATAATTAGCGCTGTGGGAGGAGTGATGCTGAGAGACAGAGGGAGACAGCATCGTTTACTGACTGTGTGGCTACCTGTTATTGTTTGCATTCACCGTACCAGGTCAGTGGTTCTCTATGGTGAACACAAATGTAGATAATTATATATAATGTGTGTATTAGTGTAATAACAGCAAAAGGATTATGCTGGGAGGAGCCATATGGGTGACGGAGGTGGCGTCGTCTGCACGATTTGTCTAGTTGTTTAGAGGGTGGCCACTATGCTCTTTGGCGCACTTCAAGCTTAGGTGTACAGTTACGGTGCATAAAACATGTAGATACTTATATATAATATGTGTATATAGGGTAATAACACTGCAAACAGTATTGTTGGGGGAGAAAGTTTAGTGTGTGTGACCTTGAAAGAGTGTGGGAACCGACCTGTGAGATTTATATTTATTTAATTTATATGAATTTATATTTACGTTAATTTATATACTTCGATAGCAATTTGTATAATGATAAGTGGACTGTATTTCTGCAATAATCTCAATCTCACAAATCGATCCTCTACACATTAGGGGGGGTTTATTAAATTAATATATATGCAGCCAATCAAACTACAGTAATAGCTACATACATTGATGAGGTTCCTTATCTTATAGTACAGCAGGTTAGTCCACCAGGTATAACTAGGGTGTAGACACCAAATTATCCTCTTTGAGGTAGCTTTCATCACCCAGGTAACTGGTGCACAAACTCTTCCTCGTCTTGACCTGTCAAAAGGGCGCTAACTGTGAAGCCAGAATCCTATATATGACAAGTTATATCAGAGAAAACACTATACATGGAACAATAAAGACCTGGCTTAATTACCTTTTAATTTGAGGCTATGTCGTGCTCTAACCGGGACACCCTATATAATGACATTAATGGCCATAAATGAAAGATACATGGGTTTCGGAAAGAACACTTAACTTGAATTTGTTGACAGCGTGTGATAATGGTACACCTTTGGTTTCCATAACACTACGTCCAAGTAAAATTAACAGGAGCCGAATTTGCTCCCGTGTGAGCCTCTGGTCTCAATATAAACAATGGCTGTTTAACACTCCATACTATTGACGTTACTGGCCGACATTGTCCAGATATGATAGGAGCCAAATTTGCTCCACACGTCTCGGAGGTGACACAACAATGGCCCCTCCTTCCTCCCTCTGACGCCTGGCTTACATTGTCCACATGTCAGAAAGTGATAGAAGGGTCACATTTACTCTACTTTAATATTGATAATTAAGTTAATTTATATAAGATGTTTTTATGATGGTAAAGTCCAAAGACTAATGTATTTAAGAATAATTCCCAACAGAATAGCTGGTGAATTATAATAGTATGTGGTGATGATATCCCGTTTTCTTTAGACGGTAATTCCACTACAAGTTACGTTTTCTATGGGTTAACTTGTTTATACAACACAGCTATTATCTGTCTGTATGATATATTAAATGGTGTCGGATTTTCCGACATAATTCCCCAGGGGCTGCTCACGGGTCGAAGTCCTATTTAGAACAGACGAACACCGATACTCCTCCTTCGAATTATTAGATTAATTTGATGTTAGTAGTTAGTAATCACACATTTGTGTGTCTGTTCGTACAGGACGGATGTCCCGTACTAGAGTTG